GCAGTACTTTGGCCGCAGTGTGAGTGCTCGGTTGGACTTGGATGGAGATGAGCTAATAGATTTGGCAGTGGGAGCACAGGGCAGTGCTGTGCTGCTTAGGTGAGTAAACAGAGAAGGAAAGGCAAAGGGAACAGATAAATATTGTCAGGACAGATTTTATTTTAACGACTGCAAGCAGAGGGAGATAATAAATCTAGACAACGCAACACCTTCAGCTAGATTCCACATTTAAAAAGTAAACCCCACAAAATAAACATATGTCTCCATGTAGATTCACAAAATCTAAAAGTTTCAATCCTTTCTAATGACTGTCCCTCAGCTCTCGCAGCATAGTCCAGATCAACGTGAGTCTGTCCTTCCTGCCGCACTCCATCAACGTCATCCAGAAGACCTGCCAGAGAGGGGGCAGAGAGTCAGCCTGTCTGGATGCGACTGCCTGCTTCACAGCTGTCTCCCGCTCCCCTGGACCACACAGCAACAGCTTTGGTACAACCCTTCGTAGTTTCATAAATCCAAAATTCACAGGCCTGCCTCATCCGATTCTAATAACAAACTAGAAAAGCACTCTGTCTGTCCTTGGCGGACAGATCCTCCCATCACAAAGAAATGTAACATTAAAGAAATAGATAATAAAAAATGTCCTCTGTCCCTCTCTCCAGAACCATCCCAGAGTTTAATATGTTATTTCTAGGCCCATATCTCATCCTTCCACTAAGTTTCATGGAAATCCTTTCAATAGTTTTTGCCAACAAACAAACATCCTCTCCTTGGAGGAGGTAAAATTAAGTGTTGTAAAATGGCCAGGGACTCGTATAATTTACCAGAGCTCACCATCTGTCTTAATCACCTGCTCTCTCCTCAGATCTGTGGGTGTCGGCGATGTTGGATGACAGGAAGTTGTCTGCACGAGCCCTGTTTGATGACAGCTCCCACAGACAAACCCAGCTGGCAGTCCGAGTCCACACGGGACAAACTCTCTGCTACAGCCTGCCCTTTCACGTTTATGTGAGTGTCTGCGCGCACACACACACACACACACACACACACACACACACGCACACACACACACACACACTCGTGTTTTCACCTCTGACATTTGTGTCTGTCTTTGGTTTAAGGACACGGCAGATTACATCCGTCCAATCAGCTTCTCACTGCGGTTTAAGATCAACGACACTGAGAGTGGTCCGGTGTTGGATGAAGGCTGGCCAACCACTGTTAAGAAATTTGTGAGTGGCAAAATATTGAGTCATGACATTAACAGATTTTGGGGCAGCATGGTGATGTGGTGGCAACTTGGCCCTGTTTCCTCACAGCAAGAATGTTCCTGGTTTGAAATCTTTCTGTGTGGAGGTTGCATGTTCTCCCAGTGTTTGCATCGGTTTTCTCCGGGTACCCTGCATTTTTCCTACAGTCCGAAGACGGTTTCTGGGGTTAGGCTAATTGGAAACTCTAAATTGACCATAGGTGTGAATGTGAATGGTTGTTTATCTCTGGCCCTGTGATACTCTGGCAAGCTGTCCAGGATGTACCCCACCTCTCGCCCAATGTCACCTTCGATTGTCTTTAGCTCCCCCCTACACTCAAAAGGATGAGCGGTATAGATCATGGATGGATTAATATCTATAAAATATAATCTTAATGGATCACAATTCCCTTCTCCTTCCTCCGTTAAACGCTTTGGACTTGTTCCTCTCCAGATCCCGTTCTTCAAAGACTGTGGTGAGGATGACGTGTGTACCACAGACCTGGCCCTGCAGGCTCATATGGACATCTCTGGGACAAGGTACAGATTTGAGACGTCTCTCAGTTCGCTCTCTCTTAGTGTGTTCGGTTTCAGTGAGTTTTAAACACGTTTGCTCCACAGACAGAAGCCTTATGTGATCCGCAGCCCTCGTAGGCGTCTGGCGGTGGAGGTGCAGCTCCAGAACAGACTTGAAAACGCCTACAACACCAGCCTGACGCTGTACTACTCACGCAACCTGCACTTCTCCAGCCTCAGCATTCGGGTAGTCAACGTTCACACACACACACACACATGCAGCACCACTTCTAAGTAATCACACACATTTACTCTGCCTTACACAACCTCTCTCTTTCTCTTGTCGTAGGAGGATGCCAACTTTAAGATCGAGTGCACAGCGCTTGGCGCCAACAGCCACTCGTGTAACGTCAGTTATCCAGTGTTTCGCTCCCAGTCAAAGGTGAATTAGTTCAGAAGAAACAGCTTGACTGAGCCCACTCATACTTGACTCACTGCAGGTGAAACCTGTCTCTTCACCAGCCCGTTCTCTTTTGTGTTTGCAGGTCAACTTCATGCTGGAGTTTGAGTTCAGTTGCACGTCTCTGCACAGTCGAGTCCAGATGAAGCTCCATGCTGCCAGGTAGCTCACTAAAGCAGTTCTGGATACTCTGTACACATAGTTTTGAGACAACTGCTTATAAGGATCCCATCTGTGTTGGTCAAATTAAAATAAGGTGGACTGTGAATCTCTCCTGCTCCAAGTCTGATTGGTCAGGGAGGATAACAGTCCCCACATCTCATGTCAGTTAACCACTGCTTTGAGCGAGAGGGACGATAACTACACACTGTGAAAGTAGAGAAAGCAGCACAACATCACATGCAGCACTAATGTGCATAGCAAGCACACATGCACATGCACACTCAGAGGACTTGCATTAGGAGATCAGGCAGGGACGGTCCTTACACACTGTGGCAGTTCAAAAACCTCAAGAGCTCAAATTAACACTGCAAGTGGACAACTTGATTACCATAAGCAAATTTGTTTAAACAGCATTTCTATAGGAATAATTCTGCCCTAAGCTTTTATATATAGATACTGCGAGTCACTGAACACATCAACAAAATAACAGTATTTACTGATTGATGAGGAGAATCAGTTTGTAACATAATGGAAAAGAGTGTCAATGTTTCAAGTATTTACACATAAGAATTGAGGAGTTATTGCCAGTAATGGTGGAGTAGGTATATTTTATCTCAAGCAGTCTTGTTGTAATCATAGTCTATGATCGGTCCATCACGATGGATGGACGGGTTATATTTGTCTTCTCTGAAAGGCAATGATAATTTATATGATCTGTTTCTTTTACAGTGACAGTGTGGAGAGGGAGGATACGCTGGGTGACAACAGTGTTCAGCTGCAGAGTTTTGTTCAGTATGAACCGGACCTGTTTGTCAGCAGGTGTGCGTGCGCGGCATAAATATATTTAAGCTTCTCTTTTTTTGTGTGTGTTTGAATATTTAAATGAGGTTTCTTTTTTCTGTGTTTTTGTGCAGTGACTCTAATTTGAACCGATACGAGGTTCACCCCACGCGGACAGTGTCAGAGGCGATTGGACCAGAGTTCTACACACACCTCAGGGTATGTCTCATGTCCTCATGGTGCAAATTTAAGGTCAAGCCATGACTTTCAGGTTTTATGTAACTTCCGATAAAGCGTTGTTTGTTTTTGTTCATACAGCTGCAGAACCTCGGCTGTTACTCTGTGAGTAATCTGGTGTTGAGGCTGCATCTGCCCTCTGTGGCTGCCGGAGACAGAGTGTTCATGACTGTCAGTGAGGTCTTCTCCTACAACGTGAGTAACGTTTTCCTTCGAGTGTCTGTATCTCCCTCTTTATATCCAATCTGACATATTTTAATTGCCCCCCCCAGGCTACAGGAGTGAACTGCAGCGTGCTGAGTGATCTGGCCCAGCTCAAGGCCCGACAGAGAGATGTGCGTCCCTTACATCCAGAAGACATGATGCAGAATGACATACTGGTGAGGCCCCTGGCAGCACAACAGCTTCTGAACACTGTGCAGCATCAGCACGTTAATAAACCTGTTTGTGTATTTGTGTGTGTGTGTAGAACTGCAGCAGGTCGTGGTGCACAGAGGTTGTGTGTGAAGTGCAGCAGCTTCTGAGAGGACAGGCTGCACTTATTCGCGTCAGCCGCAGAGTCCATGATGACTTCTTCAGAAAAGTAAGACAAACACAGGCACACATTCATTTCAGCCGAAATCTTGTGTCCTGTGACACTAATTGCAACTGCGTCTCCTTCTGTAGGCCAAATATAAGTCAGTGAGGATAATGGGTGCCTATCGCGTTGCAGCTCAGGAGACTAACCTCATCACTCTGGACACAGGAACAGACTGGAGGGAGGTGAGAGGACGACAGCAGGATTTTTCAATGGCAGAATGAGATGAATATTTACATTCTGTTTCCTCTCCCTTTATGTTTTCCTCTAGACTGTTCTGGAGGTGCTAAAGGGCCGAGCTATTCCCATTTCACTCTGGATTCTGATCGGCAGCATCATCGGAGGGTTGCTACTACTCGCCCTCATCATTTTCGTACTGTGGAAGGTATTTTCATGTTACACTTCACCTCAAACTTTTGTAAAAGCATAGCAATTTACAATGTTGATATTTGGTTTATATGGGTGAAGTATTGCTAGTCTAAAATCTTTTTTTGAAAATATATTATTGCTCTCTTCACAACCCCTGAAATGATCTCATATCAAAACATACGTTAAAAATACCAGAACATGCTGTGGTCAGAATATCAATGTTTATCTCCCTCATCATCAGCTGGGGTTCTTCACACGCAAACACAGAGCAGAGGATGAGAACCATGAGGACTGAGCCCAATTTCTGCTGCCATGACAACAGTCATTTGCCATGACAACTACGACATGAGCCGAGTCCACAGATTGGACTGGATTGGCGACACAGATGCAACTGGGACTTTCAGGACCAAAGAGAGCATCACGGGGGTCAAATAGAAATGCACTACCCACCATTTCCAGCGTCGGGAGCACTTGTGTAAATAATCTTTTTTTATTTTTTTTATTCTAAAGAACGCCAGTGTGTATTAAACCACAATACTTCTATTTAATATACAGAAATCTTCATGGTTTTACATTTCGAAAAGTCACTTTGTCGTAAGTTTTGTGTTTGTTCTTTAATGAAATTAAAAGTGTTGAAAAGTTTTCTTGTTCTCCGTTTATTCATTTAATAATGCAAGCAGTAAAAATAAAAACAAGCAAAAAACTATTTATATTTTATTCTATTCCAAACTGAAATATTCCAGATATGAACTATAAAAAGGTCGTACTTGAAATCATTCATACACAAGAACTCATAGTACTAAAATAGAAGTACTGAGTTACTACGTGGATGAGGCTGTGGCGATGATGTAGGACTTTAGAAGAAAAATGGTTTCATCTACTTGGTTCTCTGCTGAATCTAACCTGGAAAACAGATGATGAGAAGAGTAACACCACCGCATCACAGAGGTGTCCAACATCTGTATAAAATGGATTTGTAGTTTCGTGTCCTTACTTGTTGATATGAAGCTTTAGGGAATCCAGCTGCTGCTTTTCAGGAGCAGTGATCATCTCCTCCACCTCTTTCAGCTGCTCAGGCTCGGCCCCACTGGCCTGTAAAGAGGCCAGGATGGCCTCGATTCGCTGGGATTTCTCCAGCAGACGCCTGTTAATGGAAAATGAAAGCAATCAGCCCATTCATCTGTAATGCGTTGTATTAACTGCATAACTTTTAAAACTGATCACCTCGAATCCTCTGGCTTGAGAACAAGTGGACAAAGAATTATTGATAAGAAACTCACTTGCTCTCTTTGGTCTCAAACAGGCGTCTCTCTATGAGATTGGCGACTGTCTGCAGAGAAAATAAATGTGCAAATCAGAAAAAGGCAGAAACCTGCATCATGGACAGATGAGAATAACTTGTGTTCACTGTTTTACCTTATAGCAGTTCTGCAGCAGCATTCTTGCTGTTGGGAGTTGATTGACGGTGTAAAGATAGAAAGTACGAGAGGGAGCATAGTCGGGAGTCTTTGGGATTTCCTGAAGATCAAAATTATACGAGTTGTTCATCAAGGATGTGTAGGTAGAGTCAAAAAATAGGTACCGCTCCATTTAATCTGTTGGATGTCAGTGAAATTTCCAGACTTTTATTAAATTCCCCAGTGATAACCTGAAATAAAAGATTATGCTGCAGTGTTTTAAAAGCGTGGTTTTAAAAATGCCTCATTCACTTGGTGCATCTTAAAAATTTGTGCCCAATAATTTCCAAAGTGGGTTTTTGGATCGGATGTTTTTTGGATCAGGTGCTCATGTTCATACACTGAGAGAATTGGCTTGAAGAGATTTGGAACTTGCCTCGTAAACCTCAAGACATTACAGTGATCAGTCTGTCCTCTTATTTTTGTCACAGTTACAAATCAGACAGTTATGGTAGATCTTTCTGTGCTGTTGTCAAGTGTTGTCTAGTTAACAGGCTGACTAGAAAGGCATTAGTTTAACACATAAACCAGACACAGACTAATGATGCTGTGCATACTGGAACTTATATTTCTTCCTCGGTCTGGTAGAGTGGAGAAATGTTCGTACTGAAAAGACCCATCCAATGTGGATTCTAAGGACCTGTGGCCACCCTGCTATAGTAAAACCCTAAGCACAGTTAAACCAAAACTCATCATCCTCTCTCGTGTCACACTGCTAAATCAGAGTCTGCATTGGGTAAAAGCTTGGTACTATCAATTAAATGCAATATAGAGGAAACATGAATGCATCATCACATACCTGTAGCTGGACCAGGTTCTGTGACAGCAGTGTATAGAGCATGTCTTTAGCCTCCTTGGCTGGAATCATGGCAAAATCCTCCACTTGCTTCTGCTCCAGGTGACGTTTCCTTAGCAAAAGGCGGAAAATGCGTGCTGATCGGGAGCCGAACCTGACAACAGATCAACAGTGAGTAAATGAATTAGTTCTTGATGACAGAATAATCACATGTGACCACAATTAAACACTCACACACTTACCTCTCCTGTACTACAGACTCGAGTGTGGCCCGTGCCAGATTGGCCAGCGCTCTGTGTAGATCTGACAGATGAGTTAAGAAAAAACATCTGCATGTGTTTCATGAATGCAAAGACAGAAACCAGTGTGACGACACAGGCTTTAGAAAAAGGATACTAACAACATACATCCCTCCTCCACTTTCACCAGCCTTTCCCACAAACTCCATCTGGGAAATGAAAAAGACGAGCTGATCTTAAAAACAATCCTGGATGTGAATGAAGACTTGGAAATGTAACGTGCCTTGCAGAGGTCATACCGGGTCATCCACCAGCAGAGTGAGGTATTGGTCTAAGATGGGTCTGGCAATGTTGTAGCTGCTTGGAAGCGACCGGAAGATCTCATTGGATGAGAGGGGCTTTGTGCAGGTGGCTGTGGGCGAGGTGGTCACCTCACTCATCCTCAGCATAGTCCTGACTATCTCACTGCTGGTCTGAGATGTAAAAGTTAAAAATAATACTTTAAAAACATGATAAAACATTGTACTGTCAAACAACCATAATACTAATTTAACTGTGCATACCAGGCAAAGCTTGGTATTTAGATATAACTGCTTTGACTTGCTATGATTTAAAAACTAAATCGAAAGTTATCATCTTTCCAGATGATCTTTCTGATCAAAAATAAATTATCTTCTAATGTAAATAAAATCAGTGTGATGGGTCTTTAACAGAGTTCATACTTTGTTTTACAAGTTTTTCTTAAAAATCAATCAAACGTGTGTAAACCTGACCTGGTCCAGTTTGTTGGCTACAGCACTGATAATGGCCTGGTCTCTGAAGTGAAGATGGAACCTCTCAAAATTGACCTGCCAGTAAATCCCCTCATCACCGTGTGTCTGCACAGCAAAAGGTCAGGGACACAGAGAAAATGTTATACATGGTAATAAAGAGGGGAAAGAAAACAAAGACAGCAAATGTGTTCACACTCACCGCTGTATCCAGTCTGGCTTTCTTCGCATTCCTTTGGTCCTCTCCATCCTCGGTCGAGAGTTGTCGTTTGCCTCGTCCAATCAGTGTCATATGTGGCACCTTGTAGCAGTCAGGGAAGCTCTCTGGTGCGGGTGGGGTCGTGTTAGCAGGGGCAGCGGGGGTAGCAGGGGTAGCAGGGGTGACAGTAGTAGCTGCAGTCGTGCTGTCTCTTCCTCCTGCTCCAGGTAGCGGAGGGCAGCGCTGAAGAAAATGAGTCTCCACAAGGTTGGAGAAAGCAGATGACACTTCACTGTAATCCATGCTGCGTCCCTCTATAATAAGAAACACAAATATCATAAACAGTGACTTTCTAAAATTACATTCCACTCAAATCAAATGTAATAATTAAGTAATTGTATTCAAGACTACATGTCAGTGGTGCTTTAATGTTTCAAGTTGCCAATTCCAAAGAAACTACAAATCTAAAGAAATTACTTTTTCTTTTTAACAAAATACAAACACTGAGATACTGACCCTCCATGTTCTGGGTGAGGCGGTCGGCAACTGTCTTGACGGTGCTGCTCATGGTCATATGACCTCTCTGCAGTAGCTCCTCTATGATTAGCTCTCCTGTGTCACCATACAGGGTTTTTGCGGTGTAGATGTAACGTGGGTAACGCAGAATTCTCAGAATCCGATTACAGCTGGTCTGATACTCTGTTGGACTCCCAGGTCCTTTACGCCCTGAGCTGAACACACAGGTCCCATGCTGCACGAGCACACACAGACACTTCTTTACCTAAATTCAGCCAGAAAAGAAAGTGGTGCGTTACCTTCAAGAGTCTCTTTACAAGCACTAAAAGAAACATATGTCAAAGCTAAGTTACCTTAAGTTATACTTGACCATGTAATACAGTTTCTTGAACAGTAACTGATCTGTCATGTAAAAAGAAATACTAGGTTCTCATCAAATAGATGAAAACTAGTAGTAAAATGACTAATGCTGTAGAATCAATAAACAAAATACAATGCATAAGCGCAGTGCATATGATGCTAAAAATGTAATGTATAATAATATTTCCATGGTGTGAGGTATGGATTGTATAAGTCTAGACATAGTAAGAGTAGGAGTGGTACCAGGTCCAGTGAGATGCCAGTCTCATGGATGATGGTTCTCAGACTCTGTGCTCCACTCCTGAGCAGGTGTGTTCCCACTTTCTCCACCACTTCTCCAAAGTGCTCCCGCAGCAGGAGACCGCACAGACGCACCTCCTGGAGAGTCATCTGCACAGACACACAGGAACACACAAATGATTTAAGGACTCACATTTAGAGTCAGAACACGTTTTCAGACCAATATCAAGTACACAACAATCAACAGAACACTGCATTTAACAAAGCATGAATAAAAAACATTGTCAGGACATGAGAGCTTTTTATTACTGAAATTAATACTGAAATACTGAGATGTATAAAGACACTGTAGTCATTGTGGGAGCTTGAAACAGCTATGACTGTTTTAAATGTGTGAAATGTATTCATTTTTATGATGTTGGAGGAGGGCTACTGTTGCTATGTAAAAAACACTGGTTGCTATGTTAATATGTGAAAAAGTGAGATCATCTTGACTCCTGCTGTTTTGATTTTGACCTTCTTCTTCTATTATATCAGACTCACCAAACATTATGGTCACACAAATCTATATCACTGGAGTACTCTGTTAGCCAAAGTTAAGAGACTCATTTGGGCAAAGATGCTTCAAAACTGCTACAGACTGGAAATGCCAAGTACCCAGCTAGATGTACAGCAAAGTGCAAGGGCACTTTAGATGTTTAGATTCTTATGAATCATTCAATATCATCAAGCAGGTGTTGGATCAGTCCCAGATTCAACCTACGATTTGACAACACAATTTAGAAACAAATCCAGACTCAAAAAAAGGATTATCTCCTGTGACAAGAAGAAGAAGGAGGAGGAGTCCTGCAACAAATGCTGTGGTTCCTACAGATTATCTTAACATCATGGAGTCTGTCTGGGATGTTGTGAGGTCACAGTCAGCCTAAATCTACAGGGGAAGTGTCACAGGTTAACAAAGATGCTTAGAACAAACTACAGCTGGGCCCAAAATGATATAAAAATAAATATATATCAGTCTACATCTATAATTATAACAATGAATGTCACATTATTATTTCTTTTAAAATTTAACAACTGATGTTTGCTCTTGAGTGACAGTTGACGTTTTAAACTCTTCTTCATGTGCAGATAAAATGACAAAACACCTAATAAACAGCAAAACATTTGAACAAATATAAGGAAGATTAAATATTGTTACACCTCCTCACTGTGCTTACACAATCCATAATCACTATATGATGGACTCATATTGGGATCATTATTGACATTGTTTTCTAATTGCCCTGGTTCCTATCTGTTTACAACACTATTAACTGAGCTATTATTCAGTGTGTAACTTGAAAGTATAACATTCACTTCACTTTTAATGCCTAAAACTTTTTGCACTACAGAAACGTGTCTGCTTAGTTGTCCTGTTGTGTCAAAACCTTGTCATATAACAATAAATACTTAATGATTGAAATAATAAACCGCCAGTTGGACACATTTCACTTGTCTGATAGATGAACACACTTCTACAGACCACACTAGCCAAACTAGCTAACGGCTAGCTAGTTGCTAATAGCGCTGACCATAACGTACACAGACTGTTTTCTTTTCACGAACCTTTCTTCACAGAGGAAATGATCGTTTTTAAACATCTCCCGAACACGCGCTGCTTCTTTTTCTCGTTGTCAACACACACGGACACACACTTCCGCTCCACGGCGGCTCGCCTCGCTCCGCCCGGGTTTCCCCCGGCTCAGGCGCGGTGCATGCTGGGCTGGAGGTGGACAGCTGTCGTCGGTTTTGTGGAGGACCGACGTCAGTGTTTGTGCTGCTCTGGGGAAGATGGCGGAGGCTGCGGCTGTTCCCCCGCATCGATTTTTCTGCCACTGTTGTAAAGGAGAGGTTAACCCCAAACTCCCGGTAAGACGGACGCCTTTCTCCCCGCACCCGCCGCGCCCTCTCGTACAATTTTTGCGGTTGACAAGTCAGCCATTGTCCGGAATACCGATTGTTTCGCTCGGTTGCTACAGCTAACCCCTAGCTAGCCTGTTAGCATGTAGCAGCGTTTGTTGTTGTTAACTCGCTAATTAAACTCCTGACACTCGCAGGTATCTTCGTCAAAAAACAGACACGTAAAGCGAATGTCGACACGTTTCATCAGATCGCGTGTATAAGTCATTATTTGTCATTTTGGACACTCGACAGTGGACATTAGCCCAGTGTTGTTTGTGTTGTGCTCAAAACAACACAAACAGCTGAGAGAGAGAAACTCTGTGTTACTACTTTGTCATTTAAATTGACGTGTGGCGTATTCCAACATCAGTTTGCTTTCGTTTTCTGAGTTTGTTTCTGGGAAACAGCCTTGGACCAGGGAGTTGGGGACTTTTGTGGTTCGCGATCACGTTTAGTTTCAATTTTAAAGTTAAAAATGAAGGCAGACTGGCGATATCTAGATCTGGTCAGACATATATTAAGTTTCAAATGCTTTAAAATGCATCCCTTCTGCCTATGCATGGAATATTTCACATTTACACTCAGTTCGTAATAATAATCAATGTACTTACATAGCACTTATCATTGGATAAAAAGCAGCTTTAAGTGCTTTACATAAAACAGAACTATTAAGACATCAAATATGTTAAAACAAAAATATGTATGAATAAAGGTTTAAAGAAAGGTTCAGATTACAATACAAGAAAAGAAAAGGCTTAAATTAATAAAAAGCAAGATCATAAAAGTAAGTGTCAAGCAGTATTTTAAATGGTCGATGGTTGCCAGTTTATTTGGTTCATCTAGCTCAAATTAATCCAATTAAACACAAGAGCTCTGCACGATATTCCAGCTTCATGCCAGCCTGCTTGTCTCAGGCACTCTCAATCCTGCTGCATGCCTTCACTGAGCTAACAGAGTTTATTACCCCACTACTACTACAGTATATCCAAAGATCAGCTGTCATGTATCCATTTATACCACAGACAGGATAACCTGTGAACAAACCTCACACAATTTACATGATCATTCATCTACAAATTGAACATAATACAAATATATAGTTTGATATTAGGCTGTGACCTACTTTTTTCTGTTAAAGATATATTATAAAACATAAGTATCTGTCTAATCTTTTATAACCCCATCTGTATATCTAACTACCTAAGGTTGAGAAATTCTTGCTTACACTGAGTGAACAACATGTGATCTGGCTGAACCAGTAGACAGGAGTGTTTTCCTCATTCTGTTAGACACTGCATGCGTTAGGTGTGGTTGGCAGACCAGCAGTTCCTACTGGGTTACATTCATAAAACACAGGCCAGCATGCAAATATGACTGATATTGTTCTCTGACACAGTGTTCTTTCATTGTCTAAGCCAGTCAGCAAAAAGTCTTTACAGTGATTTTACGATTCACTCCAAGGACTAGGATATTTTATGTTAGAATATAGTAAAGAGACATTTCTAAAGCAGACATTATTTTTTTGTTTCCTGATTCTCTAGGTTGAACACACGCAGCTCTTTTCTGTTTTATATCATTGTCAACTAAATAGTTTTGGTTATTGGACAGTTTGTTAAGGAAATAGGACATTTGAATGTCACCTTTTCGATTTGTCAATTTTTCCTCACCTCTGTGACTCAGTCTTTGTTGTTTCTCTTTGCAGGAGTACATCTGTCCGAGATGTGATTCAGGGTTCATAGAGGAAGTAACAGAAGACTCCAGGTAAGAGACGTTTATTGTTCTAGTTAACATCAATTTCATAGAAAGGAAGATACATTAAGGCCTGTCAGTGTTAGCTTAGAACAAAAGCAGCTTGCTGCACTGTTACATGTTTAACACGTTTTCTTGAGCTTCTTTAAAAAAACTACTTGTTGAAGTTTTGAGGCTCATTCTGCAGTTTTGTCCCAGGTTAACACTAAACCTTAACACTGAACATGTTTATGTTGTTCAGTTACTGTTGCTGATGTCTCTTCTGTCTCTTTTTCTCAGTCTCCTAGAGGGTGGTGCGAACGGGATAGATGACACAGCCACACAGTTTGCAGAGGTATAAGCTGACACACGTGCTTGGAGAACAGGGTGGGGAAGTGTGCAAAGGGGATTGATTGCGAACATTTTATGTGTTTTAGTAACCTGGTCTTTTTTTTTTTACCCTCCCCCCTCTCTGACTTTTTCCCCCTTTCCCCTTCCTTCATCCCCTGTCCATCATTTCACTATTGTTTTCTCTAATTTCCCTCCTTCTGTCTGAAAATCCATCTTTCTTCAAACCTTTACCTGTTGTCCTTCCGTGTTTTATCGTGATATTCACGTAGCTATGGCACCTGTTGTTACTGGAGCGGCCATTTACAACAGACAATGACACCCCTGACTCAGAACCTCGGCTCCCTGGAGGACGGCTGGGAGGTCTCAGTGACCTGGGGGGGTTGGGTGGGGGACCAATCGGGGGTTCAGTCCCAGCAGGCCTTGGGGGACCTATGGGGGGTCTACTAGGAGCTGGGGAACACTGGGGACCGGGACGCCCCCCTCGCCTGCACAGCCAGAGAAGATACCGGTCTAGAGGCAGCAGCAGGCCTGACCGCTCGCCCGCTGTGGAAGGGTTAGTAAAGTCTTCTGGCTTCCTCAGCCTCCTCTTGGCATTTTTCTCCACCTTACATACTCCCACTTATTATAATAACAGTGCTATTAATGCTTCTACAATCCTGACTCTTCTTATTTTTGGCAGTGATATTAACTTATCTGTATTTGTCTTTTCTCTTTATGCTAGGATTGTGCAACAGTTTCTTGCTGGCCTCTTTGCCAACTCTGGAGTCTCCAGCTCACCTCCCCTCTCATGGTAAGATGGCATTACAGTAGCATCACACCGTCTGCCAGGGTTGCAGTGTTAGAAATGTTTTTTATCAGCCTGAGTCATCTGTATCTTTTTCAGGACAGGGATGCTGCACTCTAACCCTGGAGATTACGCCTGGGGACAGGGAGGGTTAGACGCTGTGATAACACAAGTAAACCAAACTTATAAGAACATCTGACTTTGTATTTGTGTTGCTGTTTCAAAGTTCTTTAGTTTACTTTTGTGTGTTTTTCTGTAGCTACTAGGTCAGCTGGAAAACACAGGACCTCCTCCAGCAGAGAAAGAGAAGATCTCTTCTCTCCCGACTGTCAATATATCTCAGGAACAAGCAGGTAAGAAAGCCTTCTTTTGAACTTGTATTTTTCTTTATCTGAGTTGTTTGTTGTGCATCCTTAACTATAAATGTTAACATTTCTTGCTGGACATGTATAAAGTTGAAGACTTTCGGTAAAACAAATGGCTCTGAATGCATTTGTCTTTATGTAAATAGATGCCTATTTGGCTAGAAGTCTGTGCAGCGTTCAGACACAGCATGAACAGTCACTTGTGTTCATATGCTGTTGCCGACTGCCAAGAGAAGCTTTTGAAACTGTTAGTGTTTGGGGCGAAATGCCCATTAACCTTGAGAGTATCAGCAGTTTGTTTCATAAATTATGTCAAGATGACGTCCTCTTGGTCTTTCTCAGCAACACCTTGTGTGTATGCTGTGTGTCCTATTTTACCACTGAGCTGTAACATTGTGGTTGATTGTGCAGCCTAGCTATTGATAGCTGACCTGTTGGGATTAATGACAGTCTATGTAATTTTTCAGACTTTTATTCATTAGTCATCCTCTGCAGCCTTGTATCATCTCAAGTCCCTGCTGAGAAATGTAATGATGCTAATGAAGATAGATGTCTCCTGAAGAGAGTGACTAATGAATACCTCTTGTAATCACAAGAATATTAATATAAAGTGATTAAACATGTCTATGGTTTCTTCTTTCAGACTGCTGTATGGAATGTCCAGTGTGCAAAGAGGACTTCACAGTTGGAGAGCCAGTCAGACAGTTACCCTGTAACCACTTCTTTCATTCAGACTGTATAGTGCCATGGCTGGAAATGGTGAGTCACAGTAAAGAAGATATAGATCTCTATATCACATGTAGTGGTGCACATAGTATATGCCATATTAATAGTGCTCTTGGCGGAGACAAGGAGAATTTGAACACGTTTTGGCTACGTGGGAATCCACAAAGAAACATCAGGGTAAATTTAAAGGGTGATGCTGGCGATATTATATATTTCTGTTATTGTCAATAAATGCCATGAAGACATCAAAACCAATAATTCAATATCCCTGTGTCTGTGACACCAAAGTGAAACATTTAATAGCATCTTATATATAAGAATAATTTTATTTTAAAACCTAATAGTTTCCCAGAACAGCCAAGCACATATGATGTTAAGAAATGTATAAATAATGCTTTTCAGGTTTATATTCATTTTGTTGCCCAATAAACATTTCCAGTAGCAGAACCATGTACTGTGTTTGATAATGCCTAAAAATAAACATTTCCCTCGTTTTTTTGTTATGAAGGAATGTATTACTCAGTGCAGTGGGACGGATTATTTTAAGGTTTCAAGAATGTTTATTAATTAAACCATTTATCCAACACAAATGAGGGACAAACGTTTGTAAAAATGTATGGTGGCAGCAAAGGCTGAATTACTTGATTTTGTACAGAGTGACTGTGATCTTGAGAGTAATAAGCTGTGTCACACTTAAGTGACAGAAAATACCAGTTATTTAGTTGGAGTGATCATCGCTGGCTTTTGTGCTCTCGTGATACTTGTCAACAATAATTCAAATTGTAAGATATTACCATCCTTAACCTTAAAATCGCCCTCATTAAAGAAAGTTCTAATAGATTTGATGTACGCAGACGTGTTGAATACATTGTTGAATGCAAAGTTTAAGAGACGTCAAGATGGTCCTTGGGAAATCAGTGTCAAAAAGTCTCTAAATTCCAACAAGATGATCAAATACAATATAAAAGTAATACCCCATACCCCACCCTTTCACTGGGTTTTTAATAAAACTGGTTCAGTAGTTTTTGTTTGATCCTGCTGACAAACAAACGACAATGAAAACACAATTTCATTGGCAGAGGTAAGAACAGAAGTAAAATAGGAAGTCCTCTTGTTAAAACTCTTGTGAGAAAACTGCCTTAAGCTAATGTTATGTTATGTGCATTCTGTTCTGTGGCCACGCAGCATGACACATGTCCAGTGTGTAGGAAGAGTTTGAACGGTGAAGACAGCAGCAGCCAGCCCCCATCAGAGTCCCCCTCCCTCTCCATGGACCCTCGCACACAGGAGAGATGGTCCTTCTGAGACGCCCACCTGTTTCATCCCTCCGTTCTCCCTGCCTACGTTCACCAACACATCGGGAAGACAAAACGCTTCTCTACTTCCCTCTCTTCATCTCTTTTGCAGTTGTAATCATCTCAGTCTATTGTTTCTTTTGTATTTTTATTTTCTGTTTCAATGCCTTTCTCCTCAACCACGTACACAGATACCTGAACAGACGTCTTAACACTCAGTTGAGGTCTGCTAGATCTCTAGTTTTTTTTTTTTTTTGCCTCATAACAAACCAGCCTAGATTGATGATGATGATGATGATGATGATGATGATGATGATGATGATCAAGATCAAGCCCATGTCTGCTCTACTTCTACTCCTTTTCCATCTTTCATGAAATGCACTGCTCCAATACACTCTTCTGAGGAAACTTTATATCATAAACCATTCACTCTCTAGTCACTTAAAGATTCACTAAAACCTGCAGCTGAGCCCTGTATGGCATATTGGAATATAATAGGTTTGGCATTTACAGAGCCTGGGCCTAACAACATGAACACCTGCACCCCTGCAATAAAATATAGTTATTAAGGGTATAATGTATTTTTTTGTTGACATAGTTTCAGGAGGATGTTGATTGGACATTGGTTATTTAATTGGTAGTTTTCATTTGGATTGCATTGTCAGGGTGTTGATGTTATTGCGTCCATCCTCTGTAGTGTTGCTATTTGAAAAACAACACAAGCGAGTACTTTAGTACTGCTTTCGGAACTCTGACATCAAATGGAAGAAAAGGATTCCTCACAACTTGTGGACTCTTCTACATTTAAAAATAAACAGCAAGGGAACGAAATAAAATATCTATGGAGCTCAACCCATTATCTAATGCTTTAGGTTCCAACATATTCCTCCTTGTGTATATATTACAAACAGATGGCATCCCTCTGTCATTCTACCCTATTGTTTATGACTTGTCTTTTGTTTCACATTTTTATCACTTTTTTTGATGTAAATAATTTTAGTCCAACTACTTACGGTTTGCAAAGGAAAAAACATTGAGAATGGAGAAACAAATGTGAAATACCTGGTTATTGAAACTGTATATTATATATATGGGAAAAAATGTCTATGAGGTATTAATAAATTACAAACATTTAAAAAGTTTACTTTTCATTTTTCACAATCCAGTTAAAAAATGTAATTTTATATTCTCTCTGCCCCCAAGGATACTTAAAAACATTGGAAGTGACATGGAATACTTTAAAACAAGATGTGCTTTATTTAAAATAGCAACAAAGGGAGGCATTTACAAACTCTGTACATTATTTAATTCATTCAGTGATCTGACATGATGAGGAAACTTAACGCACAGGTCGTTCTGCTGAGTTGACGTATTTAGTAGTTTAAGGTACCATCCCTGATAGGAAGTGGTACAGAACATAGTGCTATGAGTTGAGGTTAATTTGATTATGTGACCAACAAAATCACAAAACCTGCTCATGGTAGACAAAGCAAAAAATTGCAACAGTCAATTTAAGAGCGTATTTAAGTGACTGAAGACATACTCCAGGTAATGACTATCTTTGGTGATGAGGAGTTCAAACATTAAAAGCTTAACTCGTGCATGTTGAAATTACTTCTGTACCTCTCAACTTTACTCTTTCTTGAAATGCACTGCTGCAATACACTGCTGTGGAGAAATGCTCGACTTGATGCATACCATTACCTCTTTACTCCGCTGACGACTCCCTGAACTAAAACATTAACAATGTTCAGATCCACTGTATTGATCAGTGTGTGTTCCAAGCCAGTGTGAGGAGTGAACGAGCCGGAGCAGTGGAGGTGATGTAGCCCACAGCCGGATCCCAAACTTCAAACTGGGTCATGGACGATGACCTAGAACACAGAATTCAGTTCAACTCATTATCATTTACACACATTCAAAACATCTGTATGTAAAGATAGACGACATGGCCGCACCCCAAAAGTGAAGCCAAAGTGTTTTTTAATCCTCCCCCTGGTGGCTGGCTGCAGTAGAGGTCATGAAGCCAGCCTCCTCCCAAGTTTTAGATGGGACATGGACCAAATAAAAAAGATAGTTTCTAACATTTGAGGTAGTTCTTATCACACTGATGTGTGTGCAAGTGTTCATGTTTTACAGTAAGTTTGGTTTTCCTTAGTTTTTCAAAGTATAAAAATGGAGTGAAAAATCATGATTGACAGCTGAGACTTACTTTTGATTGGTCTTGAAATCTGTATATAAATATCCGCTGTCTACACTGGAAGCCACAAAATATTGGCCGTTGCCCCCAGAGGCTAAGTCGTCATCAGACGAAAGCCGATGGGCTCCGAAGTTTGTATCGATGGGACCTCAATACCACGGCTCGATTGCTGTTTGCAAAAGATGGCAGCTCGAATGTCCAGGATATTTTGGTTTCATTTCCGGATGGCGGGAAGTCGTCCATCTTTATTAACAATCTATGATTCAAACGGATCCTGTACCTGTTGAGTACGATGAGCGCCACCGAGCCGTCTGGTCTGACGAAGGCAGAGAATTCCAGGTGTGTTTCCTCACTGGCAGACACACCCACTCTCTGAGACCCCTCCCACAGGAACTTACTGTGTAAAACAGGAGATTTGTGATTGTTGTTAACCTGCTGCCAAGTGAGGATGGAACAGGAGAAAATGGACATACGGTGTGATAAAAGATCATGTTCTACCTGAAATGGGCCATGCTATAGAAAGTCGGCTGCTTGTAGAAGACGTCACGCTTTGCATCTACGATTACAGGACTGTCCACAAAGTTTTTAACCCAGTTCGGCCCACCGGTCTGGTCCAACGCTAGGTTCCAGTCAGTCCAGCCCACAACATAATGATTCAAGTCCTGCCACAGAGAAAACACGCACAGCTTAATATCCATCTGTTGCTGTGTAACTTTGTTGTAAGATGTGTTACTTTGTGCAAATGACATCAGCCTGCTGTTTTGACAACACATCTACATAAACAAATTCCTCCTGAGCCTGGAGACGTCTGGAGGCTGAGTGCACCCATGCAAAATGGACAGAATGGATGGCGTCCAATTTCCTTAGAGAGAGTGAAGACAGGAGAAAGAAAACACCAGTTCCAGCTTGCTCTGATGGCCTGCAGGCAGTTTGTGTAGAGTGTGCAGCAGAGTGTGACTTGTACACCTGCACGGCAGTATCAGAGGAGGTGACTCACCTTTCCAGTACAACTCACGGCTTGTCAAGACTCACATCTTTTACTGTGGATGGGTCTGAACAAGCAGAACCCTCCATACGTAAGATAAAGACGGTCTCACCTCTATAATGTCATGTGCGTACTGCTCAGCCCTGTCCCAGCTGCCCAGCTTCACCCCTCTGTCGAACGGGCTCCACCCGGCACAGGCCTCCGTGCCAAACAGGTAATACTCTGGATACAGATGATGGGTGAGTCCCAGGCTCAACTCAGCAGGGACGAAGTTGTCCATGTACCAGTGGACTGCCACGCCGTGAATGTACCTTCCTGCATGAACATCGTTGAGGACCTGCAGGGACAAGGGAAGTGAGTGAGAACTGAGTTTCCACATATAATGAAGCCAACACAGCATAGAAGATTATTAACTCATAATTACAGCAAACATTTTAAGTTACCCGATATAAATGAATAATTTTTAATTGGTGAATCCATCCATTTATTCTAGCAATTTATCTGGGTCCAGATTTGCTCGATAATTGATGTGCGATGGAAAACTACAGCTGCTTCTCAATATTGTAACTTGTAATAAACTTGACTTATTTTACCTTTCATCAAGGATCTTAACACTTTTACTTTAACTCATATCCTCTAAAGTGTGTTGAACACTAAGGTCGTCCAATAGGGCTCTGCTGACTGCTCAGGCTCAAGACTGAAGATGACCGGGCATATTTTGAGTTCTGTATTATTTGAATCCCTGACCTGTTTAATCATATTTGTAAAGCACTTTGTAACTCCATCTATCCATCTTTTGTCTTCTGAATACATCCATGCCAAGTATGGTATTCCAGACATTCCTCTACTCAGCTTAGCTTTCCAGCTCTACCTGGGGGATTCCGAGGCATTCCCAGGCCAGATGGTATATGTAGTCCCTACAGCGAGTTCTGGGTCTACCCTGTGCTGTATA